AAAACCCAGAAACTTTTCTAGTTAACATGCAAAATGCGGAGAGCAAGTAATACCAAATGAAATGGGCCTATATACCGTATTAAGATTAATTTAGAAAAAAAATAACATGGGGTTTATTGGATCCCTAAATTTTCTACTCTAATACAGTTTTATATTGTATACTGTAAATCAGTATCATTCCCTGAGCGTTATAAAACTGATATTGGGTTGGGTAGGGCGCTCGCTTAGCATGAAAGTCTTGGCGCCTTCACAACTTTTTTATTTTTATTTTATGATTTACATACATAAATAATACAATGTGGTAATACAAAGCATTAATATTTAATTTTTAAAATCGTAAAATTATAACTGTAGACAGCGTTTAATCTTCGCATGTACCGGTCCTCACAAAATGAAGCATTTGAAAAGTTTTATTTTTATGCTTAACTTTTTAAGTGGGTATATTAATTTTATAACATAATGTATATGTATATGTATATGTATATGTATATGTATTTTCAAGATTTTTGTACCAAGACTTTTAATTTCATTTTTTGAAAAAATATACAGGGTGTTTTAGTTTTTTGTCGCCTTAAACCTTAACACCTGATTTTTTTAAATTAATGTTTATAAGCATTATTAATTATTAAGCAACTATAGTTTTTGAGATCCAGAGACTAATTAATTTGAACACTATGTATCTTCAAAACTAAACTGTTAAAAAAATCAGATTTGTTAACATGAGTTTGTTAATTTTAATTTTTAAAGTTTTAACATAATTTTTTGTATAAAACCAGCCAATCAAAACATTTCCCACAACAAGTTAAAATGTCTTTAGCGTCTGCAACTTATGTTTCTGCTTACTTTATTCTAATTCGTAACGTGTTCGTTACTTTCCAGAGTGTGTATAATATATTTCCAGAAATCTGTTATTATTGTTATTCCTTATTTATTATTATTATATATATTATATTATATATTATATCTTATTTAACGAGTGTGAGAAGTGCGAAGCATCCGAAAAAATATATCATCACTGGTTTTAAACTAAAATTAGGGGATATAGTGAAGTGGGTTAAAGTGTTGTTGTAGTAGTACTAATAATTATTATAATTATATTGTACCAACTTTCTTTATAATTTGATGATTTCAGAATGGTGTGTTTTTTAACTTTGTGTATACTCATACATATATGTTATTTTTGTGTTCATTTATGTAGGTATGTGTTAATTTTTTTGTTTAGGAAATTGATTAATCAAGCAACATTTCTTATTAAAATTCTTTTCATTTATGTTTCTAATTTCCAACAAATACTTTTGTAGTTTGTAAAAATAAGGTACTTTTTGAAAATTACAAGAATTATGGTTGAACTATTGACATAGCATTTTGTTATTAAGGGTCAACTGATTTACGCATATCCGCTGATTTAGGTTTAAATGACAGTAGATTTGTAGGTTATCTTACATATACTTAAATATGTGTTTATTATATTATAAGAGCGATACATTTTTAAAATGTATTATTAAATATACACATAATAGTATATTATGTATCAAGTTTGATAAACGCCATTTTATACACGAATTTAATTGTGGTTTGTTACACGTGTTTGCATTAGGTATGAAAAACGAAAGTTACGGCTTAAAGCCTCTGAAAAGAACAAAGAAATTTTGTTGAAGTTGGTGAAAATTTTGTTGAAGTGTTTGTTCTTGTAAGAGATTAATTATAATTATATTATATCTATGATAATTATATTATAGTTATTGAAATAATAGACCTGTTTCCAAAAAGCAATGCTCTTTTACCTATTCTTTTACAATAACATTAACACCTTTTTAGGCATTTAGGCAAATGTTTTGAAAAATAAATGCAATGATGCCGAAGACATCGAGAGGGAAAAAAGACATTTAAAATTTGTGACAAGAATATAAAAAGATTAAGAAACAAACTCTAGAGGATAACATATATTAGTTAATGCTTTATATAGGTACATAAATTATGGATTCAGAATAAACTTTTTTAATCAAAAGGAGGGAGCTATACTATACTATATACCCATACTATACTATACTATATACCCATACTATAGCTATACTATACTATACTATATACCCATTTTCTAGCAACATTTTTCTGGACATATATAGTATATATGTCCAGAAAAATGTTGCTAGAAAATGGGTGGGAGGTGGAGTCTCGAAACTTTTTGTAGCATGCATATAGTTTACCCTTGCCTGCCCCCTAAACAAAATCCTGGCTGGAAATGGGGCAGGAATCCCTGCTTTTCTAAAAGGTTAAATTAAACCCAATGAAAAAAATTTGCATGCCTTATACACTTTGTTTTTTAAATAATTTATATTGAAAAATATATGTACACAAATTTTGAAAACTGTTACTTTTATAAAGCAAATTTTAAAATTTAATTCTTGCAGTTCTAGTCCCCTTTTTTTTACCCTGTGTATTTTATTTTAAAAATAAAAATATTGGTTCAGAGCATATTTTTAATTATTTGTCAAATTAATATTACAAATAATAAAAACAATTTGAACCAAAAATATAAAAACATAGTTTCATACACTGCCTGTTTTTGCTTTTACCTACAGGGTGTATTTTTATTTTCCTATAATATGCCTTTTTATTATTATTGGCAAAAAATGTTAATAATCTTATAATATGTATATTCAATTTGAAATACCCATGTTCTTCTTTTGTCCCTCCATTCCGTTTTCGTCTATGTTTAATAGTATATTTCTGGGCCCAAAAATAATTTAAAAATATAAAAGCAGAAAATAAGTTGAACATGATCTAAAATTTAAAATTCTTCAAAAGTATTTAAAAAATAAGACAAATATTTTTTATACACAATTTTGGTTTTATTTTATAATCTTTATTATTTATTAAATAGTATTTTGTTTTAATTTTAATAATAAATATTTTCAAGTTCAATGTTAGAGGTAATTATTTTACAATGAAACTAAAGAAAGTTATAATTCAATTGATTTCAAGTATTCTTCTTTTCAATCAGACAAAAAAACAGAAAAGATGTTTGATATAATTAACATGGTAGTAATTTAATCTTTAAAAAAATTTTATTTTTTAATTATATCTCTGTAATAGGTATGTTTACCTCCTGAATTTATTTTTTCATATATCTACCTATAATTACAAGCAAAAATACTGAATATTTTTATCCATATTTTATATCAGTTGTTAACGACTGATATAAATTATATCAACCGATTTTCATTTAAATTGATTTTATTGGCCAACAAACAAATCTAGTAAACCATGACTTATATTAACGAAATTATTTTCTAAGGTTAAAAGCAAATGTCACAAATGTCAACTAAATCTTGATGATATTTTAATTGTTTTATGTCTAATTTAAAATGTCAATGTATAGAAATCGACTTTATATGGAAAATATAAACGTTGAAAGATAATTACCCAATTTATTTTATAAAACAACAGTTTTTAAAGAAAAATACTGCGTTGCCATGTCGTGCAACGACCTATATCCACTGATATGCTAAATCAGTTGATATAAATAAATCAACGTTTCTGCATACGGCCCTAAATCTACAAAATATCTGTTATAATTTATTCAATAAGTTAACACATTACAGTTGGTTGTAAACTTAACATAAAGTTATGTGGACCTGGATTAACATAAAATCTGGTTAATATTTGGTTAAAATTAACAAATATTTGTTTACTGTGTAAGCGTTTAACGAACCATGTTTATATGAACTTTTTGCGTTAATTTTAAAAGTTTTATCCAAAGTAGTTTTTTTATATTATATTAATTTTATTATATTTTTAATATACAGGGTGGGCAATCTTTAGGATTCAAATAGAACACATACAAATAATATGACAATTTCCTATACATAAAGCACGCCCCTAGAAATCAAACTTTTAAAGTACTAGGTGGAATTTAAAAAGTTTTTAATGTGTTTGTTTGTACTAAAGTCTTATTAAAATAAGATCTTTTAATTACATTTGGCTTATGTACAGGGGCGGACTAGCTCTAACACAGGAATGCAATTTTTTTACACTCTGTAGGATAAAGGCATTACAATAATATTTTTTTTGCAAAAATAAAAAACTTACCCTCATATTCTGGGACATCCTGTATAATATTTTTAAGATTTTTTTGTGCCAAGGCGTTTTTTAATTTTAATTATATCGTAAAAATGTTTTTTTTGTTGTCACAAGAGATACTTTCTTGTCTAATATGACAATTAAAAACTTTAGGCTCGAATATGATCCAGTGGGATAAGAGATAAAAATCTGCAATTTACAGGATACTTGGTTCTTATTAAGAACTTCTTAATATAAACTTCAAAAGCCTTCAAGATTCGTTATTGCATCCCTTGTGCATGTGCAATCGATTAAAGTCTTAAAGCAAAAATATTAGCGATTTTTTTTATTTTCAGCATACATTTTTAATATGCAGCGCTACAGAATAATGAAATAGCAAAACAAAACTAATAAGGATATCATTATGGGATTATAACTCCATATTTTTATGGTATTAATCTTGATTGGATCAGAAGTGGCGATATTAGGTATAAGGATTTAAAAATAAAAATCTTGTAAAAGTAGATTAAAACATACAATATTTTATAAACTTTTCATTTTTTATAAAATAATTATTATGATTATAATTAAAAATTGGGTAATGTTTTATTATCAGTAGAGGCGAAAATATACGGGTTTAACCTAGACGTGTAGTATAAACAACAAGTAATTGATTGATTGATTGATCGGGATCTTAGTTATTTAGAATCAAAAGTATTTAACTTTATTTTTCGCATAGTTTAAGCTAAATTTAACATCGGCTGACTTTGCAGATTTGATCATTTCATATGGAAATGTGAAAATCACTTAGTTCAGAACCACAGAAGAACTTCACCAATGAACCAATGGCTCTGCCCGAAATATAGCCAAACATCACCAATAATTATTATACTTATTTGGTTTTGAAAAAATAACATTAATATACTTATCCTAATTACCTGTAAAATTCTTAAAATTAAAGTTGTATTTTGGAAATCGTACTCCAAGGAAAAGTGTATTTGTCCAACGTTTTCCGAAGGTTCGCTGTTGTCAATATACATGTCCACCAACGATATAGAACGGTTTTGCAGGAAGGCCATCTAAAAAAAAAGAGAAATATTCACGAAAAAGTCGAAATATTTAACCCCCTATCTTTAGTTTGCAAAGTATCCAAACCTGGACAATTTGGCAACGTTGCCTGTACACTGTCGGTTTTATTTGGAATGTTTATGGATGGGTTTACCAATAAGCGCGTCCGAAAAAATTTAAATGGTTTTATTTATGAAATGTATAATTTAATAGTATATTAAAGAACTAATGTCATAAGACGTCATTTTGTGGGTCTTATGACATGAGTTCTTTATGCTATTTTATCTATTTTGCAAACATTTCATAAAACAAATTAATTTTATACCTTATATTTAATTTGGTCGAATTTTACTTTACATAGTTGGTATCTCAGTTTGAAGTTTGAAAGGTCATTAACCTTTCAAACATTATCACATTCTTTCGCTATGGCGTCGTTAATTTACAATAAGTATTTACAATAAGCGGCTGTTAAAGAAGAAAAAAGGATTTTCTTTGGTGTTAAACAAAATTTATTGCACGAAAAGTCTCGTAAGTACTAGAAAACAAATCATAAAAATATTATAACCTATAGGTATTCAAAATTGTATTTTACCAGTAGCCAACCTATAAAATCAAAATTTTGGGTGGAATAAAGTACCTCATTAAAGAACCAAAAGCGGTGTTATAATGAAGTCATTATGAAACCAAAATAGATAAACGATATATATGCCACTTTTTATCAATAATCAATAATCAAAAATCGTGGGATTGTAGCTGTCAATTTGTTTTCAAATCGCACAGAGATTTTAGATATAGGCAATAACGACTTTGTTTGCCATCCTTATGGCTATTTGTTGGTAAATATTAATATATGATTAATTGGATCATTCCAATTAGGCGAAAAAATAATGTCGATAGTTTTAAAATCAATTATTATTTTTATGACCGTATTTAAGCTTCCAGCCAATTAAAAATGATGAATCTTCTACTAATTACACTGTTCGACAAAATAAAATTAACTCATTACTAATAATTACTTAGGTAGTTATCTAGTAATGAATTAGAGAATGATGATTATTTACTAAACTATTTAATAATTATAACCAAATTATTGCTAATTATTTAATATTAATACTGTTATAAAAATCAGATTTTTTATCATGAGTTTTTAGCTTGTTAATTGTATTTTGTAAAATTTTAACCTAATTTGCAGGGTTTGTAATTATTTTAACAAAGAAAAATATTTTACCGAAAGTTTTGTAAAGGTAATATGCATGTAAGCATTTTGGTAATTTCAAAGGTTACAGATTATTTTGTTAATATAAAACAAATTATTTCGATGAAAAAGTACACGTGATTTCAGGCAGTCAATCATTTCCCACTGACAATACTCATCAACAAGTTCAACTGCTCTCTTAAAATGAATTAGTCAAAAATAACTAATTATAAGTCATATTTGACTAATGGTCTTAGCGAAAAAGCAGTCACTAATAATTAGTCAAATTATACTGAATGAAATAGTCAAATTAGCAGATTTAAATTTGACCCAGCCGGGGATTGAACTCAAGTCTGTCACTTGTCAAGCTTGTCAAGCTATTGTCATAACCCATTCGGCTGTCAGCCGCTCTTATAAAAATCAATTTTAATTGTCAATAAATATTTTTTCTTACTACCTCGACTCAAAATACGTTGTTTCGTCCCCGATTTCACGGCAGAAAGTTTACGTTTCTTGCATTGGTCAAGCTATACGCGCACACTCTAATAGCGGGAGTAAAAATTTTTTAGTCGCGTGCTTAACATTTAAATTTCGTACTGCCAACATGAGAAACACAAAAATATTACAGTTTTAAACCATAATTTTGCAATTATAACAACAAATAAACAATTTATGTTTTTACTTTTTTACTTTTTATGTTGTTTTAAGTGTTTAATGGTACTTTTATTTGTTATAAAGTAGTAATTTGTTAATTAAAATACAACCTTTTATTTTTACTGTATTGGCACCGCTTAATTACCATGACAACGCTACAGTTTGATTGATTTTGAATGTAAACGTCAGAATTAAATTAAACGTCAGATTTTAATTTTGACACAAATTTTTTTAAATACATTTAATTTTTTCCCGTATTTTATGCAGGGTAGTAAGAAAAATAGTATACACTACACGGGCAGAAAGTGTGAGAGTCCTGAACTGCGCGCCATGATGCCCTCGGCTTCGCCTCGGGCATCATGGCGCGCAGTGCAGGAATCTCACACTTTCTGCCCTTGTAGTGTAATATACTATTCATAATATTTTAAAGTTTAATATATTATTTGTGTTGCTGTTTTGAGCTAAACTTTTTGCATCTTTATTTGTTTTTATGGGTCATTTAACCATGGAGCTTAGGTATATGCATTTAATTCAAATAATACTTTGTTGTTGGCCGCAAACGATTAAAGAAATTAGTTACTTTTAACTCTCAGAAATAGTCAAAGATGGTGACTTATCTTAAATTAGTCAAACTTTAACTATTTACGTAGTAAAAAATAACTATTTAAAAGTGAAAACGACTATTTTATAAGTAAAAAATGCTGGTACTAATTCAAATAGTAGAATTTTGACTATATCATTTTTAGAGAGTGACTTCATGACGCTGCAGCGTCTGCAACTTATGTTTCTGCTTACTTTATTCTAATTCGTAATGTGTTCTAACAACTGTCCAAAGTGTTTATATATAATATTTGTACACCATAAATCTGTTCTTATTACCAGAATTCTGTTATTCGGATTTCTTATACCTATAGGTATAATATATTTGACGAGTGTGCGATGTATCCGAAAAAAGATGCAATCACTGGTTTTCAAACTGAAATTAGGGGATACAGTGAAGTGGGTTAAAGTTACGAAATACTAGTGTTGTAGTAGTACTGATAATTATATTGTACCGAATTTCTACTTGGATTAACAAAAATATGTTGTACCAAAATACTTATTGTGCGACAAGTCTTATATTTTGACCGATAGTCCCGATCCCGTCCACTTCCTGCCCCGTTCCCGTCCCGTTCCTGTTTTTTTCCTGTCCCGTTTCTGTTAAACGTCAGTAATGACGTTTCTAAAAAATTAGCATATTGTCCAAGTTAGTTGTAACATTTTCAGTTATCCAAGTAATTATTAACACTTTTGCTTTCGATTACTAAATATCTATATATTTAGTAAGTTTGTTGTTAATTATTAAATATCCAAGTAAAATATAATTATTATTAACTGTTTAAAAACTTTAACCATTATTTATTAAATATTAAAATCTTTATTGAATATACAGGGTGTTTCAATAAAAACTCCCAGGCCAATTATTTCGAAAACTAAAAGTGACATCTAAATTCTGTAAACGTCAGTTTTTAGCCTCTATGATTGGCTTCACAACTGTGTAAAAAATGTTTTTGAATAATACAAGATGTAGATGGCGCCACAATGCAAAGAATTTTTTCGATGGCAGGTACTTTTAAATTAATTTTTGATCAAATTATGTCTCATACAAATTTTTGATAAATCCGACATGAACGGAGATATTTGGGGTTAAGTTTTTTTTTTTAATAATTTTAACGAGTATTTTAATTACAAATATTTTTAATATCCTTTAGCAGATGTTCATTTAATTCTGGTAATCATAATTTTAGTGATAAAACGCTCGTGTAGCGCTAACTAGATTAAAACTATTACGTCCAGTGACGTCTCAGGGGGCCCCTTAACAAATAATATTGGCAAAAAATAATACGCCACTGAGTGTCTGGTAATTTTTATATATTTTTCGGATTATTCAACTAAAAATACCTTTTTTTGTCTGTTGAATTGTTTTTATATCTTGCTTCGTTTTCGAGAAATAAAATAAAAACCATTTCACCGCATATCTCTAGAAAACAATAATCATTAAATAAAAACAAATGAATTTTAGAAACATCAAGTAATTTTTTCTTTACTTAGTGTCAGTGTAAGAATTTGCAATTTCTACATTTCTAAAATAAAAATTGTTCACCATACAAATCTAGACAAATTGAACATACATGGTTTTAGTTTATGGAGAATGACATTAAAATGCTTCAGAAGCTGTGCGCTGCTATCGAGACCAACGCCAGATCGCAAATCTTTTGTAGCTTTGTGTAGCAACTTAGCTACATATGGTAGCTTTAAAAAGGAAACGGTTCCAAGAAGGAAGAGGGATACGACTGACGAAAATGTGGCTTTAGTCCTCCAATCAGTAAAAAATAACCCACAATCGTCATTACGAAAATTAAAAGATGAAACTAATATTTCAATATTAAAAGATGAAACCAATATTTCAGTAAGTTCCTAAAAGGAAATATTTTTTTCCATACAACGTTCATCTAGTGCATCATCTACAATAAGGATATAACCAGCGCCAGATTAAACTTTTTGACACATTTTCATATTCTTTTGGAAGAAAATCCAAATTTATTAAACCAAATTATGTGGAGTGACGAATCCCGATTTCACAATAATAGAATAATTAATAAACATAATTGTCGCTACTGGTCCCAGGAAAATCCTAACTGGATACGACAGACTAAATTTTAAACACGATTTGGGGTAAATGTTTGGTGCGGTATTGTAAATGGTTACATAGTCGGGACCTATTTGTACCATGAACATTTAACTTCAGTTCGTTATTTACAATTTCTGCAAAACGATCTCACTTTGCTGTTACAAAATTTGGGAATTGACGTAAATACTAAGTGGTTTCATCAAGACGGTGCCCCAGCACACAATAGCAATATCGTTATGAATCATCTAAATTACGTTTTCAGGAAAAGTGATCAGCACAAATCGGGATCTTAGATAGCCAGCAAGGTCCACTGACTTTTATTTATGGGGCGGCTTACAAAATGAAGTCTACAAGGAACCAATAGAAGACATTGCTGGCCTGTACAAAAAAATCTATGTTATAGTATACTATAGCCTCTATTAATCAAAATAGACTATTGAGAGTTTGCAGAACCGAATTATTATATCGATTTGATATGTGTGTATAAAAACGGCAATAATTTTGAACCCCTCATTCGACCTTATTTGTTAATTTTTGGTATTGTTCTAATTTTCTTTAATAATTTTTTATAATTTCTCACCACTCTTTCATAAAATTTAAAACATCCTTTAATTTTATTTTATTATGTTTTAATGTTTCACCTTTGTTTTTAAACAGCAAAAAATATAGCGTATTAATAATTTATGGTTTTGTTTCTTAATGATTTTTGTTTTCGAAATGGTTTTATTTGTATTTCTCGAAAACGAAGCAAGATATGAAAACAATTTAACAGACAAAAAAAGGATATTTTTAGTTGCTTAATCCGAAAAAAATATAAAAATTACCAGAAACTCAGTGGCGTATTATTTTTTGCCAATATTATTTGCTAAGGGCCCCCCTGAGGCGTCACTGAACGTAATAATTTTAATCTAGTTAGCGCTACACGAGCGTTGTATCTCTATAATTATGATAACCAGAATTAAATGATCATATTAAAAATATTTATAATTAAAATACTCGTTAAAATTATTTAAAAAAAAAACGTAACCCCAAATATCTCCTTTTATGTTGGATTTATCAAAAATTTGTATGGGACATAATTTGATCAAAAATTAATTTAAAAGTACCTGCCATCGAAAAAATTCTTTGCATTGTGGCGCCACCTACATCTTGTATTATTCAAAAACATTTTTTACACAGTTGTGAAGCCAATCATAGAAGCTAAAAACTGGCGTTTACAGAATTTAAATGTCACTTTTAGTTTTCGAAATAATTGGCCTGGGAGTTTTTATTGAAACACCCTGTAGAATATCCAAATATTTAGTCATATTTTTACTGTTAATTATTAAATATCCAACTAATTAATTATATTTTGGGTATTGATTAATAAATATCAAATGAACTATTAATATTATTGTTTTGAATTATTAAATATTAATATAATTAATAACATTATTGTTTCTAATTTCTAAATATCCAAATAATCAGTAACTGCTTCTAAAATAATTGCTATTTTTTTAAATAGTTATAATTATTTTTTTAATTATTTCTAAATTAAAAACCAGCAACAATACAGGGTGTTAAGTAATTAATGTTATATATTAAAATGGGTTGTTCCTTAGGGTCCATAAAGAAGCACCAGAAACTTTTTTTATCTAAATTCCAAAGTCTAAAAATAATTTATAATAACCTTTATCCTACCAAAAAGTACGCCACTGATCGACTAGGAACTTTAGGCTAATCTGGTTGCCTAATTTAATTTATTATGTTATGGTTGGTAACACGTTGTTACTAACAACAGTGTTTTCAAAATCTGTCAAAAAAGTTGACAAACATTCTTTAAATTTAGCTTAATTACAAAAATGACAAAATTAACAATGCAAATTGTCAATTTGGCGTTTTTAATAATTGTTGGTTATGTCATTTTTGTACTGAAGGTAAATTCAAACAAAATCTGACAACTTTTATAAAAGAATCTAGTGCATTTCTTTCAAATTTTAGGTTATGTGCTCAAATTGTAAATATTTTAACTAAGGGAAGTGCTTTTGGATTTATTTAAACAAATTAAATGTTTAAAGTTTAACCTGTGAACTGGTCCCAATTTTATCTGAGTACAGAAAGAAAAAAACTGATGAAAAATTAATTTTGTGGTTATGGATTTTTTAAAATAGGTACTAAATGTTCTAGTCATTGCTTAAGCTAATAGCTGGTGAGTAAATAAATAAAGAAGGGTATTAGAGCTTTACGGGCATAAAACTTTTGTATTTATTTAGTTTTTATTTATTTTTTGAAAGAAAAATTTTTAGTAACAATTTTTTACATCTGGCAACGCGAAGCTACTTTGTTGGTTGGTATCTATGTACTCACAGAATACAAGTGTGCAGAGATAAACCAAATGTGTAACCAGTGGCGTATCACAAAAAATATAAAAAACTTCTAATGCATATTTTTTCTTTATCTTTGGAAAAATATTTTTTTAAATATTTTTCCTTTACTCCTTATGTCAAAAGGTATTCAGTATTTTAATATATAATATTAATTACATAACATCTGTATATCAATTTAATAATCAATTTTTAAATAATTTAAATTATATTTTTTTAATCAATATTCCTTGAATAAAAAGAAATTAAAATTAGTTTCTCTGAGAGATTTACAGAGCCATCCCATGCAATTTTGAACTCTCCAAACTTTCCGCACAAAGTGGCAAGTCTCACCATCTTAGTGGTCGTTCAGAGCAATGTCTTTAAATCGACCAAAAGCGATAGCGACAAAATAATTTGAGTACGGCATTAATTAAGGAAGTAGCAAGTTTTTTTTAATTGGCTGTTTTAACATTTTTACGTCAGTTATGTCAATTAAATTTATTTGACAAAAGAAATCATTGCTATGCCTTATAAGGTCGTATTTAATTTTTTAATAACAAGCTAATATTTAAAAAAAGTAACTTCATTAAAGCCAAAAACGAAATAATCTTCACAGTGTTTATTGGGCGAACGAAAAAAATAAATATAAAGCTATCAATGTTATATTAAAAAAATAATACTAAAAAGAATTACTTAATTAATATATGGTAGAACCACCACTATTTTCTAAAACATTGTTTGTTCCACTTATTTTGAATAAGCCCCAAATATTTTCGATTGTGTTTTTACATTAAAATGTGAGTCAAGCCACGTCAAGTGGGACCAGAAAATTTCACGAAATCACCGATTTTGAAAATAATCACATTATTGTGTAGTAGGCATGACGCATATGTCACAGTAAAAAAATTGTTTTCAAATTCGGTTTTTTGTTAATGTTATTAAGGTTAACAATTTTGTCAAACTTTAGAGCACGGTAAAATTGAAAAAATATAATCTCTGGGACCATTCTGTATAATTGAATTAAATTTTACACATTATTGTAGCAATGTTTAGACATAGAATGATAATTTAATTAAGATAAATTTGTTTAAATAAAGAATTTTGCATACATTTATTATAAACAATTGAAATTTTGTATGTGTTCTTCACGCTGAAAAAAATTAATCTTGTGTCATAATATGCGGCAAACGTTTACTAAAATGTACTCACAAATTTGTCTTTCACATGTCATTCCGGAGATATTAAATTTTTTTATTGTGACATATGAGTCATGCCTACTACACAATAATGAGATTATTTTCAAAATTGGTGATTTCGTGAAATTTTCTGGTCCCACTTGACTTGGCGGAATTAAAAAGCAAAATAGACGTGTTGAAGAAATGTTTTGGGGAAAAAATGGCACATATTTTAATGAATTTGTTCCATAATTTTGCCGGTCACTGTATAAAAAATTGTTAATGTTACTAATGCTGTACAAAATGCATATTTCTGGTGGCGAAAAATAATTTTAAGTTAAATAGTATTTAGATTTGTTTGTTCCCCATTAATTACTGTGTTTGACGGCACGTCATGGCCTTATTAAACATTTCTTCAAATGGCACGTAGACCAATAAAGGGTTGCTATCCCTGGGCTAGTGTATCCCATTTGAATTGGATTCACTTCAATGACGGCAAATTTGCTATTAACAAAGCCATTTAGCAAATAATGCGTTTTACGAATTTTTGCACGTTTCTTAGCGTTGGTAAACTTGTATAACTGTCATAAAAACGTTAGAGTACTTATTTATTATATTTAGAACTTCATTGGACATACACATATTATGTTAAAGATAGGTTGCCCATTACTGCACATTTCCAAATAAAAAAACATGTATTTATAAAATTCACCACCAATGACATAACAACATATAACATCGAGGCAAGCTTCAGTTCATAATAGAAACAAGATACATTTACATTTATTCATTATACAGAAGTAACAAGTTAAAGGCTAGTTTGCACCACCATTGTTAAACTGCCCGGTCGATAAAACAGAAAACTACACACAATACACAATATAAAGGACTAAATTTAACTTTTCCCGACACTGGTTTATCTACATTTATGTACGTGCATATTTCAGACATTTATTACATTATATCAAACAAGTTTTAATACGATTCAAAGTCATTTCAGGGTATTAACATCAAACATCGAAATCATGAAATTTTGGGTCCAAGCTGATTTTGCAAACAAAAGAATACGAGAGTAGATAAAGAAGAACTCGTTTTTAAGATGTCCTTTTGACGTTTGAAACGTCACATTTGACATACCTCATATTTAAACAAACATAACAAACTAAAAACGAGTCTTTCCTTTTTAGGTAGTAGGTATTAAGATAATATAGAAACAGTTCATGCTTACATCGGGGCTTACCGATGGATGGTCCCCCTTTACATTGGCCAACGCCTTGTTGGCCGGAGCGGTGGGAGTCCGGGCCTCCGGAGGCATGGCTCCAGCGCTGGACCCTGCCGGACTTTTTGCCTGCGGGCTTCCTGTTGTTCTATAAACAATTTTGGTTAGTTGGTGTTTTTGGGGGCTAGGAAGTCAAGGGCTTAAGTTGTTATGTATACATTGTTTCATGGGGTTATTTGGCTAGTTTATTTGGTGTTTTATTTTTTATAATTAAGAAAGAAATGGCTATTTTAGTAAAATTATTTTATTTTCCTAAAAAGTTCAATCGATTTCTGATAGTTTTGACAGTTTTAGGGTGTTTTTAGTTTATGTGTGTTATGTTATTATAAGTTATATTGTGGATTTAGAGCCCTATTCCCTTTCTTGCTGTTCATAATCATCGATTTCTTAACATGTGTGTTTAGTAAAAAAAAATCAACTATTTTTTTTTTGAAAAGTATATCAAAAATATGGTTTGGGGTGACAAGAAAAAATTATTGTGAAAGTTTGAGTCCATAATATTAATATTAAGAGGTCAACACAATTTTAAATTTTTTTTCCTCAGCAAGTTTTTGTCTGAGAACTCCCAAACTATTGAGTTTAACAAAATTGACTCAGAAATATTTTTTTAAGAAAATTAAATGCTCTACAAAAAAGGTTAAAATAAAATTTTTCGTCAGATGAACCGTTTCCTTAAAATCATGCCTTAAAAATTTAGATTTTGATCTTTTAACTTTGGAATTTTGTAATTCATGTAAAAATCAGTACCCAGAAAAAAACCGATGAATATTATGGAAAATCAAATGCTTTTCAAAAAAAGCCTCTTAACATTTTTGGCTAAATTTACTCAATCAAAAGTTATTCAAGGTTAAAGTTGAAGTCAAAACGAAATTCTTGTTTTTTCCTCTGTAGATTTATTTTTTTTATGGGTCATAATTTGATTTTTTTCTTTATAAATGTGTATTAACAATTAACAATTTCCAATAAAAAAACAACAAAATAATATTTTCTAAAGACTATTTCCCTCGTCTTAATTTCCACCAATCACAAACGCGCAATTTTGAATTACAAATGGTTTCTAGGTGAAAAAACTGTGTGACAGCACCTGTCAGCAGTTTATTCGAGTTTACCCGCGGCAAAACTTGACAGCTGTTGTCACCAAAAAGTGCAATTTATATTTTAATTGTTAACTGTTACTCATGAAATAGTCTTGTTAAATACCATTCGGGCATCTAATTTTTCCTGTGAAAAAAATCGAAAAAACACAATGCTAAGTAATATTTTTTAACAAAAAGCATTCGTGCAGGTGCAAAAATCCTCCTCTTCGACTCGGATTTTTGTTGCCACCAGCACTCATGCTTTTTGTTAAAATATTACTTAGCAACGTGTTTTTTCGATTCTTTTCGGAAAAATTAAATGCCCTTATGATATTACTTACGAAAATAGCTTCTTAAAGCGAAAAAACTCTAATGTGTTATTTTTTTTTAAATTTTCAGTAATTTTATCAATAACATAAAGATTATCATGATATATCATTATCATTTTTTGTATATATTTGATTTCCCATAAGAATATCTATCGGTTTTTTTTCCGGGTACTGATTTTTACATGAATTACAAAATTCCAAAGTTAAAAGATCAAATTGTAAAACTATACCAATTTTTAAGGCATGATTGTAAGAAAACGGTTCATCTGACGGGAAATTCCAATAAAACCTCTTTTGTAGAACATTCAATTTTCTTCAAAAAATATTCTTAAGTCAATTATGTTAAACTCAGTGGTTTGAGAGTTCTGAGACAAAAACTCGCTCAGGAAAAAGAAATCTAAAATTGCGATGATAGACCTCTTAATATTAATATTATGGACTTAAACATTCACCATAATTTTTTTTACCCCAAACAATATTTTCGATATACTTTACAAAAAAAATAGTCGATTTTTTTGTCCCAGTCTAGTGTTCACCCAACGACAACCCAAACATCACCTATATATGTATGTTTAAAAGTATTCCCTTTCTCGTATGTTTTTAAACATCATGTATGTTCACCAAACATCGAATTTTGGAAACGGAATTGCAAATTAGACACCGATAATGTTAAAAACATGGATGTTTAAGACATTCTTTCAACTCATGCGTCTATGGAGGAAATAATTGAAAGGGACTAGGCACATATAACATGAACATGCATGTTTAACGAAAGGGAATATGCCTCTTAAATATCCAATTTAAACTGTTTTTGATTTTTAAATCCAATTTAATTTATAAGAACGTTATAGCCATTTAAGTAACCTACCATCATTATTTTATAAAACTTTTTAGGAAAATGTGATAAAAAAATTATAAAAACTCAAAATTAACTAAACATTCCAACCTATAAAAACATGTATAACAACCCGCCAAATTATTCCCACCCGACTTAAAATGCGGTCAAAATCAACACATGTGGGTGATACCATCGCTTAAATCGCGTATGCTTTAAATAAATCATTTAACCGAGGGCACACAGCGTTGTCAGATGTCAATCATGCATGCAAATTTCAATATACGGCAACACATGGCCGAACAAATGCATAAAACCACGAACAACGTTTCTGACGTTTAGGAAAACACGTTTATTTGTATACTCACTCTAGTTGGGCTCTGAAACAAAAAAGAAAACATTATGTTAGAAATTTGAGAACAGTTCTGTTACTGTGATAAATTTGTTAAGGTGTGTTTACATGATATTCATTTGGAAATCGTGCCGGTGTAAAGGTAGCTTAACGTTGAAACCATTGACATAAAATATGGAGTTAATATACTTTATGTAGAATGTAGTAGTCTTCGATAAAAAATTGTTTGCATGATTTGTTATATCCAAACCATTAGGCGATAAATTATATTCGCTAACGCATTCGCTCATCGATTTTTCACTTTACATTTTTATTTTAGTTCGCCAGTTTGACCTAAATTTTTGCAAAACGAAACGCATTTTTATGCACCCGCTGAAAACTTGAATTCAAAAACAAATCTAAAGAATACTTTATTTTTAGAAAATATACAATATTTCGCTCTATACATTTGGAGATTGTCAACAATACTTAATAATTTACGAAAAGGTCACATTAATTATACTTGAACTATTGAAAACCGTAAATAGTCAAAGTAAAACGTAAGGCGCGTTTACAATAACCGAACCTATCCACGAACCCCACTAAATGGTTATTTATACTACACAAACAAAAAATTGTAACATTTACAAAACAACATTTTTTTATTTACCTTGCAGAATAATACTCGAAAAACGCGACCAGTATTTCCAGCGACCTCGAGACTGCCTGCCACATCCTCAATCATTGTATTTTTCTTCCTTTTTTGAATGATACATACACTTTTTTTTATTAAAATGTGGAATTATTTTAATAACGATTTATTTAATTTATTGTACAAAAAATTATTGACATTTGTTGCTTTATTCTTTTGTTTTTTTATAGATATTTGATTGTTTTACACGTCACAGCCGATGGAAATCTAGAAGATTAATTTATTTACATATACAGGGTGTTTGGTAAAACATTAAATGTAAGGGCAACTTGTATTAGAATATGACAGTTTTATGACATTTAAAACATGTTTTAGTCAGTTCCAAGACTGTTTAAGGACATTTTAGAACATTTTGGCAGTTTTAATTGTAAAACGGTTTTAGAACAATTTTGACAGTTCTGATACAGCACATTTTAGAAAGTTAAATACATCAAAATATTAAATGCTTTTTATTTTTCTTTTTAAAACACCCTGTATAAAATATAATGCACTTTGTTATCAATTGTTGTACTTAAAATCGATGAAATTAAATTAATAATTCATGAATGTTAAAATACATAAAATTTAGATTATGATCAAATAAAAAAGTAATTGATAATTAATGCATTTTAGAGATAAAAGCACTGATATCCCGCAGGCAAAAAATAAATTTAATGTTAATTCACAGTTTTGCACATTATATACTTTTAAAAAAATCATAATTTGTAGGTTGCGATCGTTTTACGTCATAATCTGTCATTATTATTGTAACGCGGTGTTGCCGGGTTGTCGCAGATTAATATATTTTTATTCTAAGGTATTTTTAGACATTACGAGGTATTTTCGTTAGAGGAGGGTGGTAAATAATTAAACCTGCAACCGTATTGAAAAGATGTCGAGCGCGAGAGAGTGAATTTTTGCTACTGAAAGGAACAGTAGTTCAAAAGAACTTTTTGATGTTTTGAGTATTTCTTTTATAAAAAAAACCATTATGCGATTTTTCAATGTCAGGAAGAGCACAAAAACAAAACACATACCAGCCAGGCGAATTAAAAATCGTGACGCATGACGAAAAATTAAAATTAGACTTATAAAACACGATTTTGGAAAAATTATAAACATTTTTCTTTTAATATTCAAACATAATTAATTAAATTTAAATTTACCAAAAAGTCTTAAAAAAATGTTTAAATAAAACGACTTTACAGTTTTATAATATTTTAGACAGTTTCAAAATAATGTTCTAGGTATAATTTGTGTACCTACCTTCTTTTGAAAAATGAGAGCTCTTATGTTTTTACATGTATATAGTTTTTATTTACATATATCTTGTGTAAATATATATTTACGTGCTTTTCACCATATTTTAATCAACCATCTTGTTTTTTATATTTTTTTGTTTTGTATAACCTTGATAATGTGTTGAATAGTTAGTAGTTAGTTCATGCATATTTTATAATTGTTTTTATTTATATTTGGTTTTTATTTATATTTTGTGTAAATACACACACCGGCAAATTTAAAGGAACGTATAAAAATTTTGGTTTTTCTAGTTGTGCTGCAAAATTAGTTTTTTGTACTGTATTGTACGGCCTGGGCTTACATTTATTAGTAAATTTTTTATATATTTTGCAAATTTTGATCAACTTAGTCCACGTCAAAATCGAAATTAACATCAAACATCCCTTAGTTGTTGCATTAAGTGTAAAAGGTGTTCGTTAATTTCTGATAAAAGTTAGTTGTTTTTTCACAATCAATTGCTTACTGTTACTTGGTTTGTGGCTTACTATAGTCACATTGACTGTAAAAAAGTCCACAATGAGTGATTTAGAGCTGACTGATATCGCTAGGGCTGCAGCAATGATCGAAAATGGTCGATCTTACAGTGATGTTGCAGGGATGTTTGGAAAATTAAAATCGACGATCCATCGAAATGTTACACGTTGGAGGCAAACTGGGGAGTATATTAGAAGACGAGGTCAAGGCAGAAAACGCTCAACCACGGCTGTAGATGATCGGTTAATAACATTACAAACACTTCGAAATAGACGCCAGACGGCAGTTCAAACAAGAAATGCACTGGAAGAGGTTCGTGGAAACAGAATAAGTGAGCGTACAGTTAGAAGAAGGTTAAAAGAAGTTGATATAAAGTCGTATAGGTCAAAAAAACCCCAAAACTCCAGAGACGTCATCGAGTAGCTCGACTAGCGTTTGCTCGAGAACACCAAAATTGGAACGAAGATCAGTGGGGTCGAGTTTTGTTCACGGATGAGAGCCGTTTCTGCGTAAATTCGATCGATGGCAGGGAAAGAGTGTATCGGCGTCCTGGAGAACAACATGAACAATTTAATTTTACTCCTACTGTCTCTTTCGGTGGAGGGTCAGTTATGGTGTGGGGTGGCATATGTTTAGGGGCCCGCACGGAGTTGTTGGTGATTGATGGCGGTGCATTAACTGCAGATAGGTACATAAGAGATGTTCTGCAAGATAATGTAATACCATTTGCCCCATATATCGGAGAAAATTTCCTCCTAATGCAGGACAATGCTCGCCCGCACGTGGCTCATTGTGTAACTGACTTTTTAAACCAAATGGAAATACCGACAATGAATTGGCCAGCATGCTCCCCGGACTTAAATCCTATAGAACATGTATGGGACAGACGACTTAGATTAATAATTCCTGCTGTTCAAAACAAAGAAGAGGTAAAAGATGCTTTAATTGAAATATGGGAGAATTTACCTCGAGAAATGATCGACAACCTCATCAGAAGTATGGGAAGACGGATGACTGCAGTCATAAGAGCTCGTGGAGGAAACACATGTTATTGAAAACAATAATCCTTATTATTTTTCCTGATCATTAAATGTTTAAAACAAATTTAAATGTGCAATCCTTTTTTTTGCAAAAACGCAATTTTATGTCTTGAGTTTATAAATAGGCTTCAAAAGAATATAAAGCTTTGCAAAACAAACTAAGCCATTAGTTAACATTTTTTAAGAGATTTCGTTTAAATTTATTCGGAGAAAAACAAGTTATGGGGAAAAAAATAGAAATTTAGCTCCGTTCCTTTAAATTTGCCGGTGTGTGTATATATATTTAGGTGCTTTTCACCATACTTTTAATTAATCATCTTGTTTTTTAGCTTTTTTTGTTTTAGTAGTTAGTTTATGCCTAGTTTATAATTGTTTTATTTATATTTGGTATGTTTTTGAAATACTTTTATTATTTTTATTTCCTTGTACGCACAAATGTTTTTTAACATTTACTGTGCAGGTTAGCATATTTATTGTAAACTAATAATTTGAAAACCAGGATGGGTAATAAGAGGTATATAAGACTGTGGCCTGCAGTAAAATAGATTTAACTAATAAAGCATTGAAGACTCCATCGTGAAGTGCACATAAAACATTCTCTTAACTTTAAACACTGTGAAAAACTGCTTTTATATCGGGTTTAAACGGTTGTTAGTCCATTTTCAAGGGATAAATTTAGATTTACACAGAAAAATTTGTATAGATGTCGCTCTATAAAAATATTTAATTTAAATTATTTTTAGATAATAAGTAGGTATTTTTCGTAAAAAAGTATATTATGCAACTCGTTTATAAAAAATTTTAGACACTCATTTAGTTAAATACTCGCTGGCAAGCTCACTCGTGCCTAATTTAAATTCGTGACTAAAATTGGTTTATTAAACTTAAACTAGTGGCTATTGTGAATTTTGGTCACGGGCTAAAGTTGTTAGAAATTGCGAAAAAGACTTTTCCAAACGTTAGGTTAAATTCAATATTTGACAATTAAAATTGACTTTAAATTTCTTTTTTGTGTTTTCATAGATAAAGTATATTGTGCAACTAAAATTGCGTTTATAAAACTTGGTACACAATATACTACACTCACAGGCAAAATAATCGATCCACTCAAATTTTCGATGAATTTCAATCGCAAATAACTTTCTTAATTGATTGATTTAATTTCGGATTTAAACAAATATTAAAGAATATTGTAGATAAATTAATGGAGAATTGCTCACATTTTAAAAATTACTAATATACAGGTTTAAATAAAAATATGTTTTTTACCATAAGTTTAAGACACTCTGTATAGTGGCAAAACCGTATATTGTTCTAAATTAAGTTTTAATTATCAAGTCACATCTATTTTTAACAGTTTTGTTTTTGGTTCACCTTGATATATTTATTTTTGTGGAAAATATGAATTTAAAAAAAAACATTGCAATTTCCAATATTTTTTCTGTACAAAGAACTAAGGTTGCTATGGTCCATCCATAGGCTATGGAGGATGACAGTGACAGTTTTGTTGAATCATCCCATACTTGGACATGTTATATAGGT